CGGTCCGTCGTTAAACGCGTTTAATTTCGGCGTTTAAATAAACTTAGTTTCGTCAAACTGCGTTTCGCTTGTTTCTGATGAAATTGGGCCTAAAAGTAGGTGGATCTATTTTGACGATTTTCGATGGTCTATAGAATTCGGGTTGTTTTCCAAATTAAGCTCACACTCGCACGCTCACACCCGACTAATTTTAAGAAACGATTCGTTCTACGAAATTTCAGCGGTCAGAATCTAGCATCTCTCAGGGTGACTTGGTCCAGACCAAGATTATAACCAGACTTTGCGGCTTGTATTTGATGTAGCTGCTTTTGCGAAGTTTACAATAAGATTTCTACAAAATTTAACCCTTTAAAAGGAATGACGCCAATTTTGAATCACCCTGTATTTGTAGTATACATTTACTTTTTATTCGTAGCAAGCTCCCATTCCACTGTTTCCAAAACTAATTACACGAACATTATCTATTTGTAGATACGTGCAGAATAAATAACGAATAGGAGGTAGCGTGCCGCGTCAATCAAATGTTCATTGGTCGTGACTGATGTCCGCTTCCGGAAGAAACGGCCCTGCGCCCATTTTCCTGACCCGCTTCATGTTGGGGGCTCGTATTCAAAATAGGAAATGACGACCCTTTATGCTTGCTCAAAGACCGAAAATGGTGTTGTTGCAGACAAACGGGGATTTTATACAAATTGAACAATTTACATTTTAGCCCTTCTGTATGTGCGATTGATAATAATTTAGGAAACGTGTACGCCCCAGTTTCGTCTTCGTCTTCAATTCTTGGTTTCGTTCATTCTGCATACTTTTCTGCAGGATATATTTTTTTGCCACTTTCAATGTGATTGGTCCTTTAAAAGTGATAAATTACGGTTGATAGGGTATTTATAATATACAGAATGCTTTTTGCGCCTAAACTGCTTATGTATAAAGTAACTAAAACCATAATATCAAGGTTTAAAAAACAACTTGAACTTTGCTACATACGAGTACATAAATGTTCATCCGTTCATAGGGAAATCGTTATAATATAGCATATCCGATTATGCTGCTCAGAAGTTAACACTATTGCGGTGAGTCTTGATTCATTATTTGTTGGTGAAATGCTTTGAAATCGCTACTTCTTTCAAAGATGCTTTAGCACAGAAATTTAGATAAATATTAATTTGGATGGAAAAATATTACAGTCGTTTTGAAACGTCTGGCAAAGTTCGGTTTACCTCAATTGCATCGGCACTATTTGGCGCAAGCCATATGCACCTTATTTATTATTTGGTTATTAAGTGTGTAATGTGTAGTTTTAGGTGACGCTATAACATTTAATATTAGTATCGACTGCTATTTATGTTAATTTTGTGCTTGCGTCTGACCGCTAACGATTAAAGATTGTATTAATACAAGGGCCCTGCACGTGTTAACTGCAGGTTTCATTCATTTTTTTTCCTAAAAAAGTCTTGAATATGCAGGGTGCTAGTAAAATTGGAGACAGATTTCAAACCATTTGCATGATGCTACAGCTCAGACAACACTGACGGTACTTGCATGATGGTGCACCAGTGCAGTTGAGCATTAAAGTACCTAATCACTTAGACTCAGAATTTTTACGTTAGGGGTTTTCTTATGTCATTACTTTATTATACGCCCGTTGAAAATGACCTGAGGAAACGAATTATAGCCGACCGTGAGACAATACGAAATACATCAAGAATATTTGCGCGAATAGGACAATCAATGAGACGAAGAGTTGAATCTTGTGTCGCATTTGAAGGAGGTCATTTTGAGCATTTTTTGTAGCTTTGCGCCTATTAAAAATTATATATGTGTTATTTTGTTCCGGTTTATTGTTATTATATTAGTTCTGGCTAATGTACTAAAGAAATGAAAAATAAGTATTAAGGCGCTTTATTTTTTTGCATGATAACGGCGCCCTATTCGAAAAAAAGACAAGGGAATTTTTTTTGTCGCAAATTTAAAGAGAACTTCAAAACAGATTGATAATCTGAAATATCTTAGTGGCGTACCATTTTTGCTTTTAAAAAATTGAGATTCATTACCCGTATGTGCGCCAATGATGAACACAAAATTATTATTTGTATGCCAAGAAATGTACAATGACTCTCTGTTCAAACGCACCAAACTTAATTTCTCTATCTCGATCCGTTTCAGATCAATAAATAAATCGTAAATGTTTACAAAAAACTTTAACACTCTGTATTTGGGAAAACGAATCAGTTGCTGACATATGAATCATGTGCATTAAAACTGGTCATCATTGAACAACCATTAATTTACATCTGAAAATTGTTTACATAATTATTTTACAAAGAATCCATTGATTTACTTTTTTGACAGTTTTTCTCGAGCCGACGTTTTGGATTTATTTAAGCTATCATCGGGGCTCTGGAAGGTAAGAGGGTGGTCAGTCCTAAAATTAGGTAAAAGTTCCTTGTCGTTAATATAAAATTCAAACGAAATCGAAATAAAAGGCAAATGACAAAAGACTAGTATAAGTATAGTCTGTACGCCATAACTTTGGTCGCACGTCATTAATCGTCTGTCCAGCGTATCGAAAAACTCGAAACGGTATTAAATTATCTCAATGCTGTCTCGCTTTTGCTGATTATTCCTGGAACAAGAAACCATCATGTGTCTTTAAAACATTTCCGATAAGTCTTCGGTCGATTCGACAGCATTGTAATTTTCACCAACCCCATAAGTTAAAAAATGAACATAAATACTCAACATCGCTTTAAATTAAGTAGTATTCTAAAGTTTTTTGGTTATTTTCTGATTGCTTGAGGTTTTCCAATGCCAGAAACACCGCAAAAAAGATTTGTTTTTATGTTGGTAGACAAATTTCGTCACTGATGACGTGCAACCAAAGTTCTAGCGTACAGACTGTAGTAGTACAGACTAAATAGATGAAAGTAAAAGATTATTGGAAGTTGTTTGGATGGATGTTTGTTTTATATGTGTATAGTTTGAGCGCGATTTCCGGCTGTGGAACATTGTTTAAATAATTAAAGAAAGTGCAAAAACCCGTTTTTTGAGCATAACTTTTGAACCGTTGATGGTTTTGAAAAAAGTGTAGTACTTTTTTTCAAGTGTTAAAAATAGCTACAATATAAGAGAAACGAAATTAAAATCTGTTTATTTATTTACTCAAAAAACTTAAAAAAAAAACCGACAATTTTAGCTCTTTTTTAAAAATTCTTCAATTACTTTAGTTTTCCTTCAAACAAATCGTACTATAACTTTTTTTAAAGGTTTTTGTACTCTTTATACCTAAGTGGTATACATTTTAGCTAAAAATATTCATAACTATTTGTTCATTCCAAAAGTTGTCAAATTCAAAAAATCTACCAAAATGTGAAGAATCCAATATTTTCACAAATTGTACACAGTAGAATCAAAGCAACATTCAATAAAAGGTCATCTGATTGATTCCCATAATTAATTTCTAGAATGATTTTTCTGAAGAAGTAGAGCTTTGCCATGGCTGTATTGTTCAATTCTGAAGGCGCCTTAAATGTTGAAAGCTTAAGCCAAAATAAAATCCATTCGTCAGCTAGACACGATTCTTATAATGAAGCACATTTTTTCAGTTTCTATATCACTGTTGCACATTTTTAGCCAAATATTTTTGTTTAAGATTGCCTAATCGCTCATAATGTATTGACCAATGGCAAGCAAGACTCGACGAAGTATTTTTAGTGTGTTGCCCTCAGTGTAAAGACAAATAAAAAATATAAGAGGTTTAATAATGTATTGCCGTCGCCCCACGAAACAAGATATGCATTTTTCAGGGCCAGTACATACCCCGGGCTCACTACAGGTGTGCTCCTAATATTCCAGAGTGTTTCGGGCTCCGTTGGGAGAAGAGAAATGGATTGGAAAAATTCCTATCCATTGATTTGTATTCCTTTGGCGTCAGTTCCGTTGCCGCTGAGCTCACATATTCTCCCACTAGTAACTTACTGCCTGTTTACGAATCCCTCAAGGAGGTCCTTCCATTTTAAATCCAATTTCTCACTTTGGAACATTTAGAATATACCTACGTATTGCTAAATACTTCATAAATAACTGCAGATCAAGCGCTTCTCATTAATGTTTTCAATGTGGCACCGTATTTATTTCTAAATTTCTCATTCGGATACTCAATTTAGATGAACAAGAATTTCATGCCGGTTTTACACTACGCACTTTTTCTCGATTTATTGAATAATAACTGAAAGTCACCACACACGTATGACCGTAAAAGCGTGGAATCGGGGCGATCGATAAATCGACCGATTTATTGCGGATGGTGAACATTTTCTGGAGATTTTTGGGATTATTTGCTGTTTGCTAACAGTGCAACGACGATGTTGGCAGCGGTTTTTGAAGTAAACTGACTAGGAACTGAGGGTTAGGTAATTCTTTTCTTCTTATTGTTTTTCAGATGTTGAACATCTGTGTTATATGCGATAACTTTGGCAAATTAATTAAGAAAATTAGTCGCTTCTTTGGAGCCATAAGCCAAGAATTTGGGTATTGCCTAATGTGCTATAATCTGCATATCGCCACAATACCCAACTGGAATAATAAGCTAACTTTATTGGCCAATAAATCGGGGAAAACAGCGTAATGTAATACCGGCATAACATCCTGTATATGCCAGTTAAAATAATATTAAATGAAATGAAGAAACAAAAACTTGGTTGGTAGCCCTTTTTTTAGAAAGCAAAAATTATTTAGACTTATAGATTCAGTTCCGAAAAATGCACCAGCTTTTAAGGCAACGTTCAAAGTATTCCGACGTTAATTGCAGATAACCGATATAAATTTTTTTTTTCGTTTGAAGCTTAATTCTTTGGCTATTATTTTCCCCAAAAGATGATCGTTTCTTGAGGTT